CTATATTAAAATTTAATTATATATTTCATCTTTTTTAATTTCATCTGTATTCTGATTACAATATTTTTCTCATTATAATTATGTCACACATCAGATTATTTATGAGGAAATATTTAAGTTATTATTTAGTTGCTATTTCTTCAACGCCTTCATTTCAAACCCTAAAAATTCACGTTTTAACTAACAATTTTAATTTGAATAAGTACCCATACGCAGTACATTGTTCAATTCCAAATTATGCTACGCTACTTATAGGTATTATTGCATAATTACTGTACAACAAATACGACGAAAGCAGCGATGTACCATAATTTCACCGATCACCGTACAACATCACTGGAAATTCAACAATGGACCTCACGCTGCTCGTACGCAACATTTAATGGCCACGGTAATTTAGATTTCACCGATAACCAGAGAGACGACTCAAATCATACCGCGTTCTACGCAATAATAACGTGCTAATTACAAGATTCGCGATGCACAGGCTGTTTTCTCGGTTCAAAACAAGTTTCGATTGAAATTTCTCAGACATCCTAATCACGGGATGTCGATGTATCTCCCGATTTCAAATTCTGCCTCTGCTAAAATCGATTGCAATCTGATTTCAAATCGTAAACACGCAGATCAGATGCAATTTTTGCTTGCTTCGGGTTAAATGAAAATTGTACGATAGATTTAATTTGCAAATGCGACTGAGCATTGCGTTGCATCGAAAATGTGATTAAAATACGAATTTCTCAGAAAATAGAAAATTAAGGAAATACGAGAAATTTTATTCTAATAAATTTACTAATCGAATTTTGAACAGAAACGTGAATTAAGAATTGTGCAAAATTTATGCAACGTTCATTGATCATAAAACTGATAAAACTATAATTATTTCTTGCAGAAAATTTTCAAGAATTTATTCTCGAAAGCATCAAGTCTTTCTTTTATTTTTAAACTGCAAATATATAATAATAGTAATGCATCCGAATATTAAAAAATTCTCTTATAAGTGTAATATTTCTTCAGCTTTGTCAAGACTGTCCTTTCTATTTCAACGAATAGTAGAAATGTACTGGCATAATTTTTGAAATTTCCATCGAGATTCTTGCTGTTCATTTTTTTTATATCAAATATTTTAGTTAGTTTACTGCAATATTTTGTAAAACAGAAAACAAATCATCTTTATAATTTCAAGGAACGAGAAGTTCTAGAATTTCAACAATTCTGTGCACTAATTAACGTAATACCAATAATTGCACTATTAACAAAAAAACTCGTATCGTAATCACGCGAATATCCTGTAGAAGTTACATCTTCGCCATCCAATGCGCACTTTTTCCCTTCAAATTTCCCAGAAATACTAGCTATCATATATAAAAAAAAGAAACGCGAAAATGTCTACCCGTTGCTATTACCAGCATTCAAAGCAGGGCTGACTCAGACCGGACCTAAGATCGCAATCGATAATCGTTTCCTGCTCCGCAGAAACGCTTTCGAAACTGGAGCATACGTTGTCGATTTACTATCACGACGATTTCCATCCCGTAGAATGGGAAAAAAAACGTTCCATCGCGCGAGTTCTGCCGAGAGAAAATACTCCTAAACGACCAGAGAAAACTGTACCGCGTTGAATCGTGTAAAATCGCTCGAACGAGATCGATCATTATTGCCGGCAAAGGATTCTGTGGTAACTGTGAAAATTAAGTATTTCGTGTATTTCGTTATAAAAAAATACTGCAATTAGATCAGATTTTTAAATTAAATGAAAATTATCGAATTTTAAAATTAGACCAAAATTATCAAATTTCAAAATTATTCCAAAGTGAGCAAAATTTAAAATTAGATAAAAATGATGAAATTTTGAAATTAGATCAAAATTAGACCAAAATGATCAAATTTTAACACTTGTTGACTTCGATAGAAAATCTTTTTTGTAAACATGTGAATTTATTTTTTTGAAAACGTGAAATGATTAAATGTCTTGAGTAAATAGACGAAGTGTCAGGTTTATAAAGAGTCATGCAGTTATTGGGAAAAATGCGAACATAATCAAGAACGAATTCCAGAAATCGTGCTCGCTTATCGGGTATACATTACGC